GCTACTATATTAAAAACTAAATAATATCAAACTGCAATCGCACGCATAATTAAGTTGCGCTCGATAATTTGATTTCTGCTGCAAAAGTCGATCGCATAAAGCATTTTCAAAAGATAAATAATGATAATAAACGAAAATTTAATATAAATGCTAATTCAATTTTTGTGAAAATTCTTATTATTTTATAAATCAAAAGGCGTAAAGAGAGCCACAATGCAAGATCTTTGTGCGAAGGTTATAGTATTCACATTTACTTAAAAGTATTTACATGTACAAACGTTTCTGTCTGACATCAGGCCTTCCTCAGTGTACAATATTCAGAAAAGTATTGCACGCAGTAATTATAAAAAAAAAAAGATGTAGATAATGTTTTTCAAATCCATTCCGCAAATATGTTGTACAGATCATTAAAATGATTGTTTCTTTACGCTCCTTTTGATTTATATTTAATTTTGTTAATTATTTGAGCTTTCACATCATTTATTTTTTATTCTTATTATTTTAATTAAAAATTTTAAAGAATCTTTATCTTATTCTTGGATTCTTTTGTTATCTCAATTTTTATAAAAAAGTGAAATCTATTTTTACAATTATTACTACTTCCATCTATATTAACTGTTTTCATCAGATATGTGATATAAATATCATAATACATCATATCCGCTTAAAGACTGCTTACCATTAAAAGATGACTAAATTTTTTTAGACATCCCCCAGGTAGCACATGTTTGTTTCAGAAACGTTTCGCAAATGTTTCTTCGAAACGTTTTATAACGGTTCTTAAAAACGTTTCTTGTTGGTTAAAATGTCAACCTGAAAAACGTTAAGAGAAACGTTATTTTTCCGACAAAAAACGTTTTGTCTTCTCTTATCTTTAAGAAAAAATATGATATGATATCATTTCAACTACATTTTTTTTCTTCAAGACAACTATGTGTTTTTTTAATAACAAATAAAATTTTAAAACATTTTCCTGTTATTATTCCTGTAAAAATTAAAAATTTTTCAAAAACGTGGAAAAAACGTTACTTAAATTATGGTTACAAAAACGCTTCTTATTGATGGTTGACGGTTAAAAACATACAGGATTAGATACGGTAGGATACATAAGATAGATAACGATTAGATACATATAAACGAATAAAACGAACATGCTAGCTGGGTTCGTACAAGAAAACTGGACACTCTATTAACGAATTTTGCAGGTCTTCACTGTGTCATCCACCATTGGAAAACTAATCATCATACGCAATCGGCATTAAAAGTTTCTCAAAATTCAAACTCGAAACAGACTCCAAGCTTCATTTTCGTTTTTCAATCACCTCGATACGATAATTATTAACACTGTATAAGTATTTGAAGTTTCACAACTTTTAAGTAAGTAAATTACATTTATATAATTTTTAGAATAATGTTATAGATAATTTTTTCGTGACATATATTTATTTTCTTTAAGTTATGTTGGGTTGCGAAAAAGTTTGCTCTTATCTCGTGTTATATTTACCGAAAGAACAGTTCGAATTTTTTCTGCAACCTGATAAACTTATTGGCCCTAACTCGATTAATTGAACAATCATGGTATTAAAATTAAAGTATTAAAATAAGAGAGAAATATAAAAATACTTAATATTTGATGAATTTAATTTCACAATCTTGATACGTATTTCTTGATATATAATTCTCATTATATTAATATTTCAGAAAGCTTATCACAAGCCTCAATTACAGGAACGCAAAAAAAGATAGAGAATGCAAGAAGAAATGATCGTTTAATTCAAGAATCAATTCAAGAAACACATTTCTTTATACGGCTATCTTTCATGCAATAGGTAAATTACATTTAATTTTTTAAATTATTAAAGTATAGGAAAGGGGATAACAAGCCAACGCCAGATGTTTTTTTGTATATATTACAATCTTCTTTAACTTGATACAGACGTTTCGATCATGATATAATCATCTTCAATGTAAATATGTAAAGACGGAGGTCACAAACTAAAATTGAAATTATACCGACAATTAAATTTTAAACTAAGAACTTAAAGAAAAATATATTAAACAGAAACATACCTCTGAAAATGTGAAACTCAATATTTTGCAGAATGTTAATGTTTTAGCTGACAACGGACGTGTAATAAACCCTTGAAAACGTGTGATAAAGGAAAAAAGAAGGAAAAAGAATCACAGTCGAAGAGAGAGGAGTAAACAGGAAACAAGGACTGAGTGGGGATGCAAAGGAGAAAAGAAAAGTTTAAAGACCTCAATGACAGGAACGCAAAAGTCATAGAGAATGCAAGAAGGAATAAGCGTTTAATTTAAGCATCAATGCAAGAAACATTTTTAGCACACTTCTTTATACAGCAATCCTTCGTGCAATAGGTAAATTACATTTAATTTTTAGAATTATATTATGGATAATTTTTTCGTGACACATATTTATTTTCTTTAATAATTCAATAAAGGAGAAGCTATTGGAGCTAAACATTAGGAGCACAACTGTTTATCTGTCCTTCTCTCGATACACTTGATACAAACTATACGTTAACACAGTTATAAATAAAACTTAGAAGTAAAGCATAATAAGAGACACTGTATTGTAAGGAAAATGAGAGCATGTAAATTAATATTACATGTGGCCGTGCAATTGTGATATACTTTATTGTAAAAGGTTGATACATACGATGACTAGAATAATTCGTCTTAAATAACGCGCACACACACACACATGCACGCACACACACAATAATACATTCATATATACAGGGTGTCCAATAATTGCTGAATCACCTATCGGGTGCAGGTAGAGCGGATTAAACCGAGTAGAAAAGTCCTCTATCGTTTTGCGATTTTTACAATAATTAATGAGAAATTAATTAAAGAAGATCGGCCAATTTGCGCGAGTCTAAGCGCGCGGCGAGAAGAGACAGCCCGTTGTTACGTGGTCGCTAGGACGCAAGGATCTAGCGTTACACACCGTTCGTAAGTATGTGCCGTTGTCATTCATAGAGCGTTCCTCCCAACTATTTATCGCGCGCCTAGTAAACAAATAACAGTGGGCTGTATCACCACGGGTCTCTTCTCGCCGCGCTCTTAAACTCGCGCGAATTGGCCGATATTTTTTAATTAATTCCTCATTAATTATTGCGAAAATCGCAAAATAATAAAGGACTTTTCTATTCGGTTTAAACCGCTCTACCTACACCCGAGAGGTGATTCAGCAATTATCGGACACTCTGTATATATATATGAATGTATTATTTTATTAATTCCGTGAGAAAAAATACATCTTTTTCGCGCGTAAATAAAAAAAACGTTTTTTTTTTAATCGTTTCTGAAACGTTTTTTGTCGGAAAAATAACGTTTCTTTTAACGTTTTTCGGATTGACATTTTAACCAACGAGAAACGTTTTTAAGAATCATTACAAAATGTTTCGAAGAAACATTTGTGAAACGTTTCTGAAACGAATATGTGTTTCCTGGGATTAATAGCGGCAGCATTTTAAATCGCAATTTCCAAAAGTCATAAAAGATAAATTATAAATGTCTGATCTCAATTTATTATAAGTAATTCCCGTAAATTTACAAATTTACAGTAAAACAACATATTTAATTATATAACACATAATAATAATCAATAAAATTTTACTTTATAAAGATTTTTGTAGTGTTAAAAATAAGAAAAATATTGTCAGCATCTTTAGTCATTCATTTTGCTTGGTATGCGTGGTTTATTCTTGTCTCTTGTGTTGTATTAGATTATATTACGCCAGATGACATTTGTAGAAATGAAAAAGCTATAGATATACATTTGATGTTCCATTTTCTTTGCCCTCAAGATAATTGGAAAATTCTTTTTCAGCAGATTGATACGAATCAATTTTCTATAATCTATTCATGTCCAAAAGTCTTGCTTCATGTGTTATCGTCGGCTGCGTTATTAGCGGTGTGTGATTTGATCTATACAATATTTTACTTAAAATCATTTTTGTATATGGTTATAATGAATAAATTGACACTTCGTAAAGTGAAAATCATAGATGCGTCCTTGTAATTTTTATCTTGCACAATCTTTTTGTTCATTATTATATAAATTGTATGTAAAAATGTATTACTTATATATGTGTGCCAATAATAACAAATGTATGTATATGGTTTATACATGTGTATAGAGAATAGTTTATACTTTTATTACAAATTTTTACTTACATGCTTATAATTTCTCTGCTGATGTTTTGGTAATTATTTAATGTAAAAGGCGTATCAGATGAATTATATATTGTAGTATCTTTGCTCGACGTTGAATTATTAATGATAGAAAGTGTAAATATCGCTGTTGTAGTATCATCTTTTGTATTATTAACTATACTATTCTTAGTTGAACGAAAAGCCTTTAATATCTTATAAAATTCTGCACTGTCTGTTATTTCAAAGCCTTGATTGTTCGCATATAACATCGTGCTGTCGGTACTTTCTGTTGCTCGCGTTGTTAAGCTATGATCGTGAAAGAAAAAAATTTATTAAAATAGTTAAATAAGTATTTATTAAATAAGTTTGTAATACAATTTTTTTTATACAAAAGAAACTTTTTTTTCGAAAAAAACATACTTTTTTCTTTTAATTGGATAATCGTCCATGTCAAGAAATCTTGAGACAATATCTGTGGCGTTTTTATCTTTTGTTCCAAGATGTATAGCAGACCAGGATATAATTGTCAAAACAACCAAAAATATCACAAACGAAATTAACCACTGAGTTAATCCAAAAGCCATAATAAAACTAATTTTTCTAAAAGTATCTTTATAAGTAAATCGTCTTGTCAATTCTCTCTTACTTTTATTACGATTTTATGTTGTAACAATAAGCTCAGCCATTATATAAAACAAAACATTATCTGATGTTTCACTTATAGACATAATATGAATAGACGGAGCGTATCGACATTAAATATTAAGTATTTATGAGGAAACAGATATGAATGTATTTCTAATTTGCATTTTTACGAGATATTTTAAAAACGTGAAAATCATAAACATAGTATGAATTAGACGGAGCATGCCGTCGCTAAGCTAACATCAGCAATCCCAAACAACCTAATCGAATACAGCACGTTTTCTTTTTAATAGCTTCGGATACGGCATGCTTTCTTCTTAAAAAATTTTTTTGTTTCGAATAAACCAAACCAAGATGTAATTTCCACGAGGCGCAAAGATTTTTTCGACGAACCAGCACTTACACTGTTTTAACTTCTTTAATTTTTAATATTTTTAAATAAAATTTTGTACAAATATTGTCTGTTGTGCCCTTGGTGATAGGGCACGGGTTCGGGATCTGCCGAGGAGTTAGGCCGGGAATCCGGGAATAATCCTTTGACGTTTTTTCAATAAAAAACAGTCTCCCGTATATTTATTGGTTTCTTGTTTTATTACAAATTCCCTTACTTCTAGATAAACTAGGTTCTGTCAGGAATCCTTGCCTTAGTGTAGTATCACGGAGCCCCAAGTTACTCTT